TTTGGCCCATTTACAATGAAAGTCGTTCTGTGGGAGTGTTTGGTTATTTAAAATACTATGGATAGTTGATTGATTGTTCATGGACTTTTCTGAGTCGTGTAACGGTTACTTTAGATTTTACCAATATTTAAAATTAATGTGTTTTAGGTTTTAGGTCAAGATTATTGTTAAATTTGTGGATTCACAAGCTAAGATCCACTGTAAAGACAAAGTTAAAAACGTAATTGGCTTTTATCGTTAATTACCCATTACTCTGAATAAATAAAGAGATATTGCAAATTTCTATATCAGCCACTAATAGTGACAATGTAAAATAATAATAACTCTTAGGTAACAAAATAATAAGAACATAATTCTTAACTATTCTAAGTAGGTAATAAGTCACAAAAGAAACTTAACAAATGCTTGAAAATAAACAAAAAACTAAAACATGGTTTTGTAGATTGTTACTATACGGCGCTAAACAACCTTCAAGGGCTTAAAGAAGCTCAAATTCAAAGGTTGTGTCAAATGTGTTGAATTTGAGGGTAGAAAAATAAATTTAATATTGTTTCTTTGACACTCTCTAATGATTGTTATGTTTAAATGACTCGATAGATTATCTCCGGTTAGAAGTTTCGGTCCACCAATTTTGTTGGCCCACGGTATAACCATTTGTGTAAACCAGTCTTCAAATCAAATCACCCAGATTTGGTTCTATTATATCGAGTTCCAGGGGGTCCCCCAATACACCAGGAATCAATTAATCTCTCCGCCTTGTACACAACATATGGAGCAAAGTTCCATCTGCAGCGACAGCAAACATAACGGATATTGAGGACTTTGTTGAGCTCATAATGCGTTCAGGGTATTTAATCCCTTTTCTAAAAATACATTTTGACGATCCAGGATTGTCTGTCAGATTGGTCTCGTCGTAGTTAATGATGGATCCAGGTGGAATTCCTGCTACTTTTTTTTTCTAAATTATCAAAGTAATTGTTCATTTCCTCATCTGTTTTCTCAGCTCTTGCTTTTTTAATATTTTGGCACTGTTGGATAATTCATGTTTGTGTCAATGAATAAAATTCTTGCACCAGTCTACACCTGGTAAATTGTTTTTGAACTTCTTTAGGCGGACACCTTCTTTGTCTAAATGACTCTTCAACACTACTCGCAATTCTGTCATGGTTAGGGGGCAGCCATATTCAGAGCTGGGTATTATAACGTGGAGAATGGACCGATTAGCTGAGGTGCTCCAACAGGACCTACATGTTTTTTTTTTGTAACTTTTATTTACTAGGGTTCTTCTAGGAATATTGAAAGTTTTGGATGCTTTGGTATATCCCATTTGATTACTCTTAATCAGTAGAACATGCAGAGGAATAGATGATGATGTTAAAACCAGAATTCAAGATTCATTAGTTTTTATTACACAACCCTTAGCATAGCAACATGATTTTACGAGGTCTAAATAAAATTATACTCAACATGATTTTCAAATATGGCGCACGGCTTCACCGAGTTCCGGACTAGTATTGCCTAAAACCTGTTGATTACGTAGTATTTTGCCGCCAACTACATTAGAGCAGTGTTCCCAGATTTACAGAAAATAACTTTTTAGTTTTTTACAGTGTTGCTGTTGCTATTACAATAGCCCTTGTAATAGTTAAACATATTTTCTGCGCATGCCTCAAATTCCGCCATGTTTTTCGGGTACCAATATACATACAGTACACACCAGATTTTCTACACAATTAAAAAAAAGTAGTTACAATCACTTATATTTAAAAAATAGTAAAATTTAAATGAATCTATACTCATAATTAAAAAATTGAACAAGTATTTTTATAGAAATTAAAAATGTTACCAATAAAAAAAGGTTCAAAAAAACGTTGTTGTTATGGAGTATGCCATAGTGTTATTTATTTGTTTTCTTGTTTCAACAAATCCAAGATAGGCGTCACTTTATTATATTGTATTATTTTTTTTCTTATGTTTTTAGTTTAGTAGGGGATTACCACCGGCCTCCAGCATTTCAGCATAATTTATATATTGTTTTTAATATCGTAGACCCCTTCAAAACTTTGAAAAAATATTAAATTACAAAAATTTACCCTTATGTGAATTTTGAGCTAATATATGTAAAATAAAAAAATTCACTGGATGAACCAAATGTTTAAAATATTAATATTAATTTGCAGCAACAGAAATAATTTTCTCTCAACTAAATAATATTAAAGTTTTATTGTTAAATGTATTTAATAATAGTTCTGGTAGACTGTTATATTACTTTAAAATATTAGGTAGGTATTACGATTTTATTACCTTTTGGTTCAAAATTCTATTACGATAAAATTAATTGGTGTGGCAACACTGGTTTTTTAAGCAAAGTTGCCCCGGCTGGCAAAGTAACCCCACTATACGGTATGTAATGAAATATGCAACTAACAATACAAGAAAGTAATATTAGTTGCCCATATGTCAGTAATTGTTACCAAAACACAATTTTATAAATAATCCAGTCAAAATTAGAAAAAAATATTGTATGTAGATATTTTCAAATTTAGTCCACCAAGATTATTGTCAAATACACGAACTATTGAATTTAGAAATATTGAGTCGTTACAAATTATTTAAGTCATGTAGACTTTTATTTAAAAGCAAATTTCTGCATCACTGTTCATTTTAGCTCCTTAAAAGGTTTTTTCTCTTTTAACTAAAAATAAACAGTTAAAAAAAAATTAAAAAAGTTTGTTCTAATGGCGTAAAAATAGGGGGAATAACTTGCCATTAACTTTGATAGTGCGTCACTGGTTAAATTTTTCAAGTTTGTCAAAATATTACTTTCTTAAATAGCCACATACTTTGATTATTATACGAGGCAAGAGAGAGGTCCGACACGCCCAACATAGGGCGCGGCCATTTTGAACCCTGTGACACAGTTTACAGCTAAAGAATCAGATCGCTCACTCTGCGTCGGCACTTAGGATCTCAATGTTTCAGTTTATAAACTGTGCAACTCGGATAATACAATATATGACAACCGCCTATAATAAAACAGCAGTCTTCTGCGTATCCTGAATTTGTATTCCTGGAGTGGATGTTATTTTGGAACTTTCAACTGGTCCGAGTGAGCTAACTGATTCTTTAGCGATAAACTGTGACTTCAAAAATAATATTTACTGACACTGACAGCAGCAAGCAAAATATCAGGTGCGTTTTAATCATCCGCTTCTGCTTCCGGAATTGTCGGTTTAGTCGTTTTAACCTGTCAGATTAAAACAAGAAAACCGACAATTCCGAAGCAGAAGCGGATGATTAAAACGCACCTATTAAAAATATTGCGCCAAGATGTAGGCAACACGTAATAAGGGTTCAAAATGGCGGAGTTTTCTATCTCCTTTTAAAAGGCACTCAGAAAGCTGCGCAGTGCGACCATTCTCCGTATAGTAAAATAAAATCAAAGTATGTGTAAATAGCACATTGGTCACCAAATTTGAAGAAAAAATTTAAAGGATTTTACAAATATCAAACTTTTTTGCAACGTAATATAAAGTGTGACACAAAAAAAAGGTAATTTTATGGGGAATTCAGAAATATGTTTATTGCGATACTTTTAAATGTACCGCCCTCTATCGGGATAAAAAAAGTGTACGTATTATAAAGTGTGATAATTTGAAAGCAAATTTAATTACTAATTTAATGCACCACATTAACATTAATTTTCACTTTCAATAGTTTGAAAATTAGTTGTGCATTATTTTAAACATTACTCCAAAATTTATTTTGATACAAGTGCAATATGGAAATATTTATATTAATGTTATGTGGTGCATTGAATTAGTTATTAAATTAGCTTTCAAATGAAGTATCACACTTTATAATACGTTACAGGTTTTTTTATCCCAATAGAAGGCGTTAAAAGTATCGCAATAAACAGTTATATTATTTCTGACTCCATAAAATTACATTATTATTTGTAAACTTAAAAACCTGGTGCACTAATCAAAATATTTGGTATAATAATTATACAGTGAGCACCATAAGTCTTACCCCCCCCCCTATCTAACTCATTACTGGAGTCTTGTTAGGAAAATCGCCGAGACACGTCGATTTTTGTTTTCTACAATGTACATTTTTGTATGAATAGTTTACCCTTAATTTCATCCCTTACTGGAGGGGAGCAACCCTTTCGAAAAATTTAAATGGCATGGAGTGGTGAGTGATAGCTCATTTGAAAGGGGGTTTTATTCTCTATTCAACCGTGTAAAAAATTTTGAAATTTGCTTCATTAATGCTCGACTAATTGTTGTTTCAGAATAACGGAAATTAACGTAGCGCACTCATCCTTAGAATTAAAATTCGGCCCTGCATGATTTCGGTTTTGGTTCAGACGTGAAGTAAGACTTTTTGCTATTAGAAGGTCACTGTTAGTTTAGTTGCTTTCCTATTTTGTGAGGTTTTGTTATTTTTAAACATTAATAAATCAACACGTAATGAAGCAAATTTGCAAATGTTTCGTTTTTTTACAAATGTCTTCAAATTTTGAAGTAGTGACACGTTTTCGTCTTTCATTATGCTACAATACACAATCAGCCCGACAAACTTTTTAGAAAATCTTCTTTTGCAACGCGTATCAAAGAGTGCGAAAGCAAGAAAAATGATTTACTTAGTTAGAAAAAATATACTTTACTTTAACACATTAGAAATTAAAAAAAAATTTACATGCATTAAATGGTAAAACTTTAAATTTAAATAGTAAGTACTTAAAATTGATATTAAGAGCTCAAACTTGGCCAGAATTTTTTTCTATATGCAGATATTTTGGTTGAGCACTGAAAAAATAGTTGTTTTTTTTTTCGGAAATGAATCCTAATGAGGATTTTTTTTTTAGAAATTTATTAACAAGTGTACAGTTACTACGGAAATTTTTAATTCCAATATTTAAAACTTTTTTTTCTGTTGGATAATTATAAATCTGTAAAATGAATAATAACCATATTGACTTTCTTTATTTTCAGAAACTGCTGGAGGAATCAAAATCTGAAGAAAAAAAGATGGCAGAACTCTACAGAGATTTTACCACTGAACTAGAGAATAAGATAGAGGTTAGTATTACTTGATTGAAAATTTAAACTACTGAGAAGTTTGAAATGTGTGTCAAAAATTATAGTTGTAGCATTTATAAAATAATTTTGAATCTTTAAAAAAATAGTTTTTTAAATTTTTTATTTAGAAGATAATTTTCTTAAGAAATTTCTTGATCTTCCCGCGATACTCTTTGTCTCATTCTTGGTTGCACTCGTTCTGGCTACATGAAATTGAAAATGCCCATGTTTTAAAATCAACTGTTAAAATTAGGTGAGATATTTTAATTTAATTTTTTTAGGTCTTAGAGGCAACAATAAAAGAAAAAGACAACCACATACAAGCAATTAGAGATCAATACGATGATTTACTTAACAACCTTGAAGAAAAAGAACAAAAAATTTTACAACTAGAAAATGACCTAATGTCGACGAGCTCTGGTGTTAGCATTGACATACCTAGCTCAGAAAAAGGCGATACAGCAACCGAAAAACGCAGTAAATTCTACAAAACAGAAATAGAAGAAAAAGATAGAGAAATCAGTCGTTTGACAGCTGAATTAAAAAAATGTTCCTGTTATCTTCAAGAAATTGTCAACAAAGAGCTCTGGGAGAAGAACAAAGAAATAGAAAAATTACATTGCCGTCAAGTAAATTCTCCGGAAATTCTAAAATTAAGAAAGGATCTTACAGGCAAAGAACAACAGCTGAAATTGTTGAAAGAAAAAATTTCCGAACTCGGTCTCGATATGAAAATAATGCATGAACTTGACCTTAAAGATGTCTCTTCACCGACGAAATTCATCGCAAAATCACTCCAAGATGAACTTAAAACTGTGAAAGATGAAAGGGATTACTTTAAGAACAGAGTTTTAGAATTGGAACTGACCAGTAGCCCCGAATTGATTGACACACTCAGAGCGCAATTGGAAAAGTCAGAAAATCATTTACAGGAGTCCAACGAAGTTTGTGTCCTACTAAACACGAGATTACAAGAATTGGCAATTTTCCTGGATTCCCTTCTCAAGCAGAAATCCGTTTTAGGATTCCTAGGAATTCACAAGGAAAAAAAACTTCGGGAGATCATCAACAACAGCTTGGATTTATCGAAATCGTTTAATATGAGCATCGATTTGAACCACGACGAAAGCCTAAGGCAACTATCGAACATCACCTCAATCCTAAACGGTTCCGGCTTTAAAGATCTGTTCCAAAACGACCGACAAGATGCAGATGACAGCTACGAAATGCTGAGTATAATCCCAGGAAACGTGACGTTGACGTACCAAAGCCATTTGTATAAACAGAAAAACAAATCGCAAATGGATGGCGACGAAGTTCTCACCGCTCTAAGAAGCCAAATCGTAAACCTGAAATCTGAGCTACAGCTCAGAGATATCGAGTTAAGCAGGTTGAACGCCAACGTTAAATTATCGGAAACCGATGAGGAGCAGAAATTGAACAAATATGCTAAAGAGTTGTCTAAGGTGACCGTCACGCCGAATAAAAACAACACGACTTCTGCCACTTTAAATTATCAAAGCGAATGTGCTTCTGAATCGGAGGGTTGGTCGGAACCTGATAGAGTCGTCTCTAGAGCTAGAATCGGGTTGAGCCAGTCCTTACCGCTCAGTCCTACCGCTAAAACGATCCGATCGGGCGAATCTACCGACGATGACAATTTGTCTGTGTCTGGACTGTACCACAAGCACCAGGAAATCGAACGATGCCAGGAAGCTATCGACCTAAAAGCAGAATTGGAGAAAAAGACTGAGCAATTAGAAGCAGCCGAACAAAAGTTACTGAACGTTGTAGCTACAGAAGTCTATGAAGAGGTCAAAAACAACCTCTTGGAAGCCGAAGGGAGAGCAATAAACCAAGAAATGCTGAGAATAGAAGCAGAGAATTACATTAAAATTCTGAAAGAAGAAATCGACGGTTTAACCCAGCTTCAAGAGGAGTTAAAGCGAGACTTTGAAGTCAAAGATGAACAAATTCAAAATCTGTTCAAACAACTCGAAGCGGAGAAAGCACGATCTCAAAAAATCTCTGCTAAACTGGAAGAGGTTGTTGATAATTCCAAAAAGCAACAAATCGTCTTCGAATGCAAAGAAAAAGATTTTAAACAGCTTGAAAACCAACTTCAAAAAGACCTACTGGAGATTGCGGTTCAATTAGAAGAAGAACAGAACAAATTGAAGGATATGCAAGCAGAAACCATTGAAAAAATGAAAGAGATCGAGGATAGTTACGAGCACAGAGTTAAAGAAATCAAGACTTACTACAATGACAATTATCTCAATAAATCCGAAGTCGAAAGCAAGCTTGCTTTCAAGAATCAACTTATCCAAGAATTTGAAGATTTGAAGGAAATGGTTAAGACTTACGAAAACGCCATTCAGGTTCACAAAAATAAAGAACTAGACTATGAAAATAATGTTTGCGAGTATCAAGAGAAGGTTAATACTCTGAGAAAAGAATTGGATTTGGTCAATTTGGAACATTCTGATGCGGTTTTGCAGAAAAACAGGCTGGCTAATGACAAAACTATTTTGGAACAAGAACTTAGCAGGTAAGTGGTCATAAAAATTAATAGATATTGTTGAGTTGCTATTTAAAATGGTAGAACCTTGTACATGATAAAAAAAATAGAATCGTTTCCTAGAAATAAGGGGGGTAAAGTTTTTAAACATTTTTTGCATTTTTTTTTATATTTGATTTTGTGAATGGAGAATCTTTCAAGAATATTGTGTGAAAATTTGAGATGAATCGGAGCAAAACTAACGAAGATACTAACCGCGCCTCGTACAGGACTGAGTGCATCAGAAAACACCTACCCGGCCCGAGCGCGCTATTGTTACCTGGCAGCTGTTTCGCTCTCTATATAATCTCCAACCTTACCTCCTACCTTTCTTTATAGAAATTTCAACACAAATACAAACGTGTTTATACATGTACAGTATATAATTTAGTGTAGCATTGGCCTGGCAGGTTCTTTTGCTTTACTAACCTCCATACAAGACATGGGAATAAATAGTGGATCAAACGCTCATGAATGAGAATTCGTCGTAAACAGGAGCAAAAAGACGCTTTAGACACCATGGATGATAGCAACATCCTTTATGAACCTGCCATCGATGATTCAGTGTGAGATAAACCGATTGAACTTGCTTATTAACGTTTTATTCTAAATTGTTTAAAGCTTTTCCCACAACTCACATTTCCAAAGTCGGTGCCCCTCATAACCTTAAAACTACCCAAGTAGCACATGACGGGTTTATAAAAGCTGTAAGAATATTAAAGCAAATATTTATAAGAGAATAAGATTTATAATTTAACTTGTAGATATTCTTACAGACTTTATACAACTCTTATGAGCTTAAATTGGGCACCAAATTATAAATCAAAAAAGTTTTTTAATTCTCTCATAAATGTTTTATGTAGGTACTTACAAGGGTTTAATAAAGCAATCTCAAATAGTATTTTAAAGACACATTTATAGTTACTGTATTTGCAACCAATTTGGAACCGTAAATACTTTGATGCTACATTTATAAGAAACCTTTATTCAAACCCTTTAAAAAGAAATACGACTTATCATATAATAAATTTTTATTCTTTATTGGTATGGCGTGAAACAGGTTTACAAAGAAAAAAATTTAAATTTATATATTCTCCAAAAACAAAATTGTGAACTCTTTGAATTACTGCAGTGTCTCAATTTATAAAGGGTTCAGTTGATCTGACGTCTTGCAATATACTTTAGTTATGAGTCATGACAAAAAAGTAGGAAAATATATTTATTACCTTATCTTTAACAGAGATGCAAATTTTACGAGGTTCACTTTAATGTGAAAGTCTATTATACTATTTTATGACGATTTTTTTACGTCTCCACCCTAAACATTCAGTTGAAGGAAAAAATAAAAATAAATTTTTATGTAAGAAAGTAAAAATGTATTAATAAAAGAAACGTTAGATTAAATTATTCTTACTAATAATCCATAATTTAGTATCTGCTTTTTACAGACCATTATCACATTATTTCACCAAAAATGTTCTTTTTAATTTTTGACCTTCATGTATTTTACATTTGAAATATGGCGATGGTTTTAGTTGCACAAAAAGCATTTCTAAAACATTTATGCTTTAAAAACAGCAACAACAAAGCAATTTTCCTAACTTTTCCATCCGTTACAAGAATTTATTGCCAATTGTCTACAAGGGTACTTACTTTCAAATGGTATACCTAATCCTGTACTATTTAACATAATTTAATACAGTATTCCTCAAACTTTTTTGGCGACGGAACCTTTTGAAAAGCGAAATATTTGATGGAGCCCTAAACACATTTTAAAAAAAAAAATCCTCAAGTCAGGTCCCTCCCTTTTATGGCGATATATAGTACTGCTTCTTTTTTTTATTATGACTTATTTTCTTCACGGAGTCCCCACAAAGGCTTTGCGGAGCCCAGGGGGTCAAAAGAACCCCGCACAAATCTTATGGAAATTGGCTCCCGGTCAAATTAGCTGAAATTTGGATATGTTGTTCGTTTAGGCATCCTGAGCAAAAGTCTCAATAGACACAAAGCTCAATTTTGCTTATTTTGGCTCCTACGGAGCTCCAAAGCTCCACGGATTAACCATTATTTACTACTTAAAAAGACGATCTCCTCGAAAGTTTAGTATTTGCTGCGTTAAAAAAGAAGTACCTACTTATGTTTTCTTGGTCGCTGCATTTAAATTCAATGCCAATATAATATTAAAAGTTGACAGCTGTCAACAAGCAATAATCAAAATTGATAAAATCCACATGTAAATATCTGTTTTTGAGGTTGGTAAGTTCGAAACTGATGTTAACAACTCGATATTGATAGTTGACAGCTGTCAACTAACTGTCAAACAGTATGTGACAATCAAAATTGACAAAATTCAGGAGTAAATAAAGGTTTGTTCCAACAACGGTCAGAAACCAGTCACCAACACCAGGATTCTGCGCAGTATATAATTTGGCGGTCGAAATAATCAACTGCGCAGAATCATGGTCTCAGTGACTAGTTTCTGATCTTTGTTGGAACAGACCTTAGATGTCTTCGAGGTTGCTGAGTTCAAAACTCATGTCAAAAAGACGATATTGACAGTGGTCAGCTGTCAACTAACTGTCAAACAGCATGTCGCACACTCAGTAATAAAGTGGCATAACTCAAAATTTACATGTTTAAACTTTTAAACCTAAAACTGCCCAAAATAGCGCCCTCTATATGTAGATTTTTTTAAATGAAGGTGCTAATCCAACGCGAGGATGTCCTTGAGGTTACTGAGTTCAAAATTAAAGCCAAAAAGCTGACAGCTGTCAACTGCCAATATCGAGTTAACATCAGTTTTGAACTCGGCTGCCTCAAAAACAGATATTTACATGTGGATTTTTCAATTTTGAATATTGCTTGTTGTTTGACAGCTAGTTGACAGCTGTCAACTGTCAATATTATATTGGCATTGGATTTGAATGCAGCGACCCCGAAAACATAAGAAGGTACTTCTTTTTTAAGGCAGCAAATACTAAACTTTCGAGGAGATTGCTTTTTTAAGTAGTAAATAATGGTCAATCCGTGGAGCTTTGGAGCTCAAAATAAGCGAAATTGAGCTTTGTGCCCATTGAGACTTTTGCTCAGGATGCCGAAACGAACAACATATCCAAATTTCAGCTAATTTGACCGGGAGCCAATTTCCATAAGATTTGTGCGGGGTTCTTTGCTGTTCGACAAATATTATTTTGATATCTGTCAATAATTAATATTAATAACATTATTAAATTAATATAAATGAATACAAATTAATTTATATAATAATAGATATCTTAATATTTCACTTTTTTTATTTTACTGCACTACTATGTCTATCAATAATATATGTCTTATTTTCTGTGGGCTCATTTCTAGTAAATTTTTTTAATTTGTAATTGTGGTACTTTTTACCAATACCTCGTATAAATGTTTAACTAGAGGATGCTGTCATAATGAATTGCCTACATAATAAAAATCTTATTACTTGAGATGAGCAATTTTGTCTAATAGTCGTCAACAATGGCAAAAGGATTTATAGTTGTCCACAATAACATCACTATAAATCTATTTTGCTCTCTTGAAACAATTAGACAGCTGACATTGCTCTAAACCAGTGCTAATAGTTCTTGTAAATGCCAAATGGTCTGACAATTGTTCACAATAACACAACAATAAAGTCATTTTGCTCTGTACTAGTGCTAATATTTCTTGTAAATGCCAAATGGTTTTATAGTTGTTCGCAATATCACTACAATAAAGTCATTTTGCTCTCCCGAGAAAAATAATGTGTCGATTTAACAATATATTTACTTTTACGAGCTTAAAGGTTAGATAATCCAGCATTTTTATTCTCGTTCTTAGTTGTGGTGCGTTAAAATATTTCAAGATTATGGAAACGATTGAAAGGGGCAAGATTCAGTTTCCAGCGTGAGATGTCCATTTTTTTAACTCAAACGTCAACAACCTAATAACGTGTTAAAATAGAAATGATGAAATGTTTCAAATTGGCTCTATTAAACCAGCGGCAGGAATATTTTTGTGTTCTTTGAGAGCATTTTACCTCATTGATGTTTTTTAAGTGTTACCAATATAGCAGTAATAAAGACATTTAAAGGGTACTTTGTAATTGCTATGTTTGCTCTCTTAAATATAGCTGCAATGAGAGTATTTTATATTTGTTGAAACAATTTTGCTTTATACATGTTACATAAATTGCCTTAACAAGAAAACGAGGCGATTTCCCTTATAAGTGTTGAATATATAACCAATGTATCTTATTGATATATCAAACAGCATGCTTTATTTCTATATTTTTTTAAATTTTTAATTGAAAATTTAACACAATATTCTTTCTTATACTTTAATGTACCATTAGTTTAAATAAACAGATTTTAACTGCGTCGTCAAAAAAAATTTACAAAGATGTGCCTTTTTTAAACAAATTAACCTTACCCCCCTTTAAAGAAAGCTAAAAAGATGATGACAAAATGATTGCTAGGCCCAATACCATTGGGTATAAAAAATAAAATAAGAACAAATTGATATTTATGTTTCAAATTTTACAAATCTTTTGTAAAAAAATAAATAAATTTATTTTAAAGGTATATTAAAATGTAATTAACAGGTGCAATGGGAAGGAGCTAGAACTGCGCCAACAAATTAACGAAATTCGATCAGAAATTGACACCATAAGCCAGAATTACCAACAAGAAGTTTCGTTGCTTCAAAAACAGAAATCCGACTTGCAAATGAAAATTAGCATATTGGAATCCAATAACGCCTCATTACACAATCGGTTAATCAGAAATCAGGAATCGAGGCAAGACTTTTCATCGACTGGAACCAATATGAGAATTGAAACAGGAGGGTCATTCAATAGGCAATTTTCGCATTCCAGTTTTAATTCTGAGGAAAATTTGCAAGAGTGCAGTGGGTAAGTAATCAATATTTGTTTATAATGGCGCATTTAGACTGGTCTAGCATTATTCATCTGTTTATGTACCAAAGATTCATTGTCAAACTAAATAAGTTAAATTTACAATTTCCCACCAACATTGAAGTTTTACTGGCAACGGAGAATAATAGTATATTATTTAACGAGCGGTAATGCAGGTCATAACTCACGCAGATGAAGTGAGTTATGACCATTACCGCAAGTTGAATACTATACTTTATCTACGACCATAATAATAAATACTAAGATACAAGTATCGAGAAAGAATTATATAATTGACTAGATGATAAAAACGTTTGAATCTTTGTAAAAGCTATTACCTTTGTTGCCAGATATTTCTCATCAGGAGTTTCATTTATAAAATTATTAAGTTGTTCTGGCGTAAATGTTTTTGCCTTTTTATCTATATGTTTCTCTGATTGACGTTTAAGAAACGCACGTAATTTTGAATAATTCTCTATATTCCATTATTTATGTTGGGTGTACTTCTTAGCATGGAGTAGACAGTCCATAGAGACGATGCTTTATATTTATTGCTAAGTTTAATAAAATATGCCAAAAGTACATTTTCTATAAACGAGTTACACCAATCTTTAAAATTTTAGTATACACCTTTATACGTGTTTTTTGATTTTTCTGGTAATAAATTCTGTATTGCATTATTAGCTATCTCTCTTATTTCTGGAGGTGTACATAATAACTTCACTATCTAAATTCATCTTTTTTTAGCACTATTATTAGAAATTGTTTTGAAAACGTCAAAATTATCTTGTTAAAATATCAAATGACAATGTAATATTTGACTGTTTCGCCTACTGAGAGGCGTTGACAATTTAATAATTTTAAAATCTTTTAATTATTCATTCCTTTCCAGTTAAAAAATCTTACGCCAATGGAACGTATTTATCGACTTTAAAATTTTTAAGAATTTATTGCGCGCACTATTTATATACCGAATTATCGTAGGAGCCCAGCGTGAGTTATAATAACTAACTATTAAAACTCACGGTATTTGTTTATTGATACTATTAATGCGCTAGTTCAATGTGATGTCATTTTGGTTCCACTGACATTTAATTCTAACCAAACTTTTAATAAAAACATCAATAAATTTGACATATACGTTTTTACTGTTTTTATTTTATTTCAAAATATTGTTTACAGGTCATAAAAAATAGTTTAAAGGTATGTAATTGGTAACTAAACGATTGTATATTTGATACATGCTATCTACTTACTTTAGGAATAAATTTATAAAAGTAAAAAAAAACGATATAATTTAGGTAAACAAAACGAACAAAACGCACTCAAAAAAATCTACTGTCACTTTAATTGTCAGTAGAACCATAATTACATCATCACTGAACTAGCGCATTGCTCAAAAGCAGTTGAATAATTAATATATAAATTAATAGGAGTAGATAAAGAAATTTACAACTTCATGGTAGAATTTATCTTAATAAATAAAATTTCCATTTAATTAAATAATTAAATATTGTGCGTGGCTAAAGGATCAATATCCAAAGCAAAAAAAATGTACCAAAGTCTCAATTAACAATTCTCTGTTCATTATATCAGACCTCTTAACTAAAGACAAGTTTTCTTTTATAACATTTTAACGTTGTTGTATATATGGCTAAGAGGATAAATCTGTGTCCGAAAATGTCGTTTTGAATAAAATCGATCTAAAACCCAATTCGATTTTGTTAGAAAACTTGTATTATCGATTTTTCATTCAAATACAAGACGTCACTTTAAATTTCTCTCTTTATGTCAACAAGTATGTACCACACATACTTTGATTACTATACGAGGCAAGAGAGAGGTCCGACACGCCCAACATAGGGCGCGGCCATTTTAAACCCTGTGACACAGTTTACAGCTAAAGAATCAGATCGCTCACTCTGCGTCGGCACTTTTGATCTCAGTGTTTCAGTTTATACACTGTGCAACTCGGATAATACAATATATGACAACCGCCTATAATAAAACAGCAGTCTTCTGCGTATCCTGAATTTGTATCCCTGGAGTGGATGTTATTTTGGAACTTTCAACTGGTCCGAGTGAGCTAACTGATTCTTTAGCAATAAACTGTGACTTCAAAAATAATATTCACTGACACTGACAGCAGCAAGCAAAATATTCAGGTACGTTTTAATCATCCGCTTCTGCTTCCGGAATTGTCGGTTTAGTCATTTGAACCTGTCAGATTAAAACAAGAAAACCGACAATTCCGAAGCAGAAGCGGATTATTAAAACGCACCTATTAAAAATATTGCGCCAAGATGTAGGCAACACGTAATAAGGGTTCAAAATGGCGGAGTTTTCTATATCCTTTTAAAAGGCACTCAGAAAGCTGCGCAGTGCGACTATTCTCCGTAAGCTGCGCAGTGCGACCATTCTCCGTATAGTAAAAAAATCAAAGTATGTGATGTAACACGATGAATTTAATAAAACGTATGTCACTAAAGAATATGTGGCGACAACTGACGACAACACTGTCAACTACTAGAGTACATACAGGTCCGGTATAAGCCATATAAACGGAAAATAATAGTTAAAATGTTTTGATCGAATTAAATTAATATTTTTTTTAAATAAACGAAATTTTTAAATGTATTGTCTTTAATCAAAAATAATATAGGCTAATACTCAAGTGTATACGAGCGTACTGATCAAGAGATAATTTTACACTTTACTCGAGTTTTTTTTTATCGATCATTGTAATGACACCAGCGGTAAAATAGATAAATGTGTACCAAGTCTGTGTTTTGGCCGAATTAGACATTTGCGGCCGAGGCTAAGCGACTTATGGTTTAGTATAAGAGTAATAGGCAAGAAACGGATGTTCAATCAACATTGACATGGAGATAGATGTCAGATAAGCAGGTGTACTGAAGATAACTTTGCAGAACCCAGCATCAGATTAAGTACTCAGAATTTGAGATATGTCATTATTGAATTCCTTTAGTATTTCGGCTGTTAGATTATCTTTTCCAGGCCTTTTATCTTTCTTCAATGATAAAATTATATATACTAATTTCTTGACTAGTAGTTGGTTGCAGATTAAAGTTATTTACGTTATATGACCAGGACAGTGTATTCTCAACTGGTTCACATAACTGAGCAAGTTGAGGTCCTATACTGGTAAAGTAGCTATTTATTTCTTCCACTATTCACTGTGGGTCATTAATTAGAGTTATCAATTGTCAGTGAGGAAATTTCAGAACAGTTTTTCTTTTTAGAGTTACTAATAATAGTATTTAGAATTTTCCACAATTTTTTTGGATCATTTCCAGCACTAGTTAATTGATCTTGATAATACTCTCTTTTCCTTTCTTCAATAACATAATTTTGAGCACTCTTATAAATCCTCTTTAAATAATCACTGCCAGGAAATTTTTTATGCCTTTTATGTTAATGGTAATCCCGAATAACTATTAAATTATATATTTGCACGTTAAACCAGGGTGCACTATTGACTCTTAATCGATTTTTCCTAATAGTTTTTTTGTGTATAGCAATTTAAAGACCTTAGAATTTCATCGCAGAGGATGCTGGGGTCATGCCAGTTGGTTGTTCCGATATGTTGGAGCAGCTGACTAAATTTAGCCCTACTGAATATATTGATTGTACAATTCCTATTATTTGCAGATTTAGTTTTCGAAAACTGCAAGATTTGATATCTGTGGTCACTAATATTTCCATCGACAATAGCTAGATTAGTTGTTTCATTATTATTACTAATTGTGTAGTCTATCAGAGTTTTTGAAGTTGGGGTAACTCTTGTCGGTATATCCTCATTCATGTTAATAAATCCATTAGAAAAAATTGTGAACTCAAGGTTCCGTTTTTGCACATTATTCACCAAATAGTCAATATTAAAATCACCAAAAATCACTTCTTCCCATTTTCATTTAAATTTTCCAAATTCCCATCTAGTTTAATAAAAAAGGTGTCGATATCATAATCTGCAGGTCGATAAATACCACCAATTACATAATTAATTTTTTCTCTATGGATAAAGAGCATTTATCTTCAACTTTGGAGATTATTAGTACATTATAGAACTTGTCAACAGCTTCATTTACTTCTTTTACGGAGTCTAAGAATGACCAATCTGTATTAACTATGTGCTCGTAAAGAAAAGGAAAATTTGCTTTATGGAAATTGTAAATAAATGTATCAGTATTATACTCATGGAAGGTTTGTTAGTTTTTACATTAATTATGATGCTTAATGCCGAATGATAGAAGTCATTTGCAACAAATAGAATATCATCATGAGTTATCTCGCATAGGGAGTTAGCTAAAACTAAGTCCAATAATTTATTATTGGTGTCTAGAACCTTATTGAAATGAGCGAGGTCATGAAAATGGATCATAATATGTTGTAGTCTAAGTATATTTGCATTATTAAATTGACCCTCATCTGGCATATTCCAGTCACCTAAAATAATGATGTTGTTATCATGAAGACACCCAATTGATTCTAGCCTTTCAGAGAAGTTACTAAAATCCTCTAGACTACATTTTGGTGGAATTTACACCACAATAACATAAAATAAGACATATTTAAAGTAAATTTTAACTACTATTACATCAATACAATTGAATGTGTTGCGAATATCATTTAGATCGATTTCTGAGGCTATGCAATCATTGTCTGTGTCCAGGTTTCCGTAATGGCAATCAATTGATATTCTAAGGCGCTACAGGATTTAAGGAAGTTGTGTGTTTTTGTGTTGAGGCTGCGGGCGTTTTTATAGTAGCATCTGAGTGAGACGTTTTTCCCCCTTGGACGAGTTTGTTAGTTTTTTTTTTCATCTTTACACTTGGCAACCTTGCTGTGAGTTCTATATATTATTCTAACACGAAATATAAATATATAATTGAAATACACACGAAAACAATAATATTATGGTAGAAATCATAATGTTTTTGAAGTAAATTCAAAATTCTATTTACTGATATTTGTTA